AGGGGGGCGGGCGGCGCGCGGGGGCGACGGCGGACAGGGGCTGGAGGAGCGCCGGAGGGCGCGCAGGGCTGCGCGGGGCCTGGGGAAGCCTCCTTTGGCCTCGGTCCCCTGCTCTGACGGTCAAGGCCAGGGTCGTCCTCAGAAGAAAGGCTCCAGCGGACCTGTCAGGGCAAAGAAGCCGAACCCTTAGACTGGGAGGTGAAGCTGTGGGGGGAGGGGGGCACGGGGAGCAGATGCCTGCAGCGCAAGGGCCCCTCTCCCTGGAGTCCACCCTCTTAGTCCCGCACACAGCCACCCCTTCCCGGATTGGCACAACAGGTCCGAGGAACGCCCTGGCGCACTGGGCAGGGCATCCCTGAGGACTCCTGGGTGGCGCGCACCGGGGGTGCGATCAGGTAAGGGGCCCGAGGTTCTGCAGGGCCTCGGCCCTAAGACACGGTCGGTGACCTCAGAGACGCCACCCCACCCCGGCCCATTCTGCAAAGGCGGAGAGGGGCTAAGATGCTGGCAAAGAGAGAAACTACTCAAGGTTTATCGCCTTCATTTTAGCGGCATTTTCTTGAAAGCCACACCAAGAAACCTTTTTCCGTTCTCTGCTTTCCCTTTCATCCTCTATTTTTCCATCCTGGATATTTCTTCTTCTTATTATTATTATTTTAAGCAGTCCACGTAGGTAAGATCGTATCCATTTTCCGCCCAAAAACAAATCCCAAGGAAGCTCCTTAGGGTGAATAAGATTAAGAGGAAAAAATAAAAAAAGAAAAGAGACTCTAAAACCAAACACCCACTTCCAACGTCCCCGCAGCCCGCAGCGAGCTCTTTGGAGAAGCCCCTGCGATCGCTCTCTCTGGCGCAGGACCAGAGGATTGCACCGATGAGCGTCCCGAGCTTGGCTTATTGTGCAGCTTTTGTTCTAGACTCCGGGCCCTTTCTCTCCGGCCTGGGAGGCAGCCCTGTAGCTTTCTGCTAACTTGAGCGCGCGTCCGCACTTTTCCCCGGCCCTCTCTTCTCCCACCAAACTAGACAGGCCATTTCAATACCCAGTCGGAGAAACGAAAAGCAAAGAAGCCGCTCCCCTCACCGCCCACAGCCTCCATATAACTCCTCCAACAGTCTACCTAACAAGAGAGAAGTTGTTTCTCCAGGAGTAGCCTCTCCGCGGCCCCAGTACAAAATGATTTCGATATTCTCTCTCTTTCGCCCTCTCCAGAACGCAGACTCCCGAAGTTCCTCATTAAAACATATGCATGAATGCAATTAACGTGCGGATCGTGGAGGACAGGCGTGGGTTTTGGTTACCTGGAACATCCATGATGAGCGAGCAGTGCTGTCCGCGAAGTTGTTCTGCTTAAAGAAGATGAGGGGAGCTGGCGGGAGGAGACTCGGAGCGCAGCCCTTCTCCCAGCGCCTGGCCAATAACCGCGCCGCCCCGCCCTGCCCCTTTCCCGCGACGGCCCGCGCCCGCTCCGGGTACGCCCCACGCCGCGCATCCTGGTGTCTCGCGCCGCGCCCAGAACCCGCACACCGGGTACCCTTACCTAGCCGCGCCTAGCCTCGGATCCGCATGCCCCGCGCCCGGCATCGCAGCGCGCGTGGCCCGGCGCCCGCGCTCCCAGGGTCCCGCACCGCGCAGCTCCTCCGACCCTCGCGCCCTGCACCGCGCAGCGCCCGGAACCCGCACACCCTGCGCCCTGCGCAGCGCCCCGCGCTTCGCACCGGTTATGTTCCAGGTACCGCACCGGTTCTGCACCGCACCCCGGCCCACAGTCTAGGAGGGCCCTTCGCGCGCAGCGCGCCCGCAGCGTGTCTGTCTCTGCCGGGCCCCTCAATCCCGGCCTCTCCTCTAGTCTCCAGACGGCACAGCCATCGCGATCGCCCGGAGGACTGCGCGCACTGCCCCCTCCCGGGCTCGGCACCCGCTCTCCGCACCCCCGCCGCACCCTGCACCGCCCAGGTCCGGCTCTCACCCAAACACCCAGGGCGAATTCCTCCCAGACGCCTCGCTTTTAATAATTAGGCACCCTCAAAGCACCGGTCGCGCCTCTTCTTTTCGATTCTTTCTTTTCTTTTCCAAATTCCCTCCAAGTCTTAATCCTTAATAGCGTGACTACTTTCATAATTAAGGGGTAAAGCAGTTTTCTTTAAAAATAAAAATGAAAGGAATGGACTGGAGAGAAAAAGCTTGGGATTTTAATGGCTTAAATGCTGTAGTTCCGGAATCTTCAGTTTGGGAAATGTCAGATTTTGGCAGGGATTAAAGAGGCGCCTCCGCCTGGGTTTATGTTTGTGCGCCTCTGAACCTCGGGGCTCCTGGAGCGCATTGGCACACGCGCTTATTTATTAAAATGCCTACTCTGAGCTCTAACGACCTGGGGAGACGCGCTGGTTTCCCAGCTGCGCCCAGAGCGCGGGCGAGAAGCGCAAGCACGGACGTGGGGCGCCACCTACGGGCGCTGGGGCCTCCCTGCCGCAGGCTGCGGGCGAGCAAGCTCCGCGGGAGTGGCGGAGTCCAAGGGACAAGGATGAGGCTTGCTGATGGCCTTCTCTGACCCAAAAGAGCAGTCCGGTCCTCTGCAAAAATGTAACAGCCATCAACGATCTTTCCGGTATCCTTCAGTACCCTCGCTCTGACAAAACGTAGCGGTGCTCTTGCTTTTACAGATCTTCGCTGCTCTAACAAGCGACTCTGCCAGGATGATGGATGCTGCAGTCAGTTTATCATTGGTTATCACTGTCCGCAAAACGTTTGCACAGACCACTGAGCAGTATAGTCTGTGCCTCCCTGAAACCATACTTAAATGTACACTCTCCTACGACCTGACGTTTAAAAAAAAAATTGTTAAAAAAAATACGTAGCCCTTTTGACTTGCATAAGGTGCCTTTGCCGACAGGTTGATCAAAAATAAACTGTAAGAAAAAAATTAAAAATAAAAATAAAAAAATAAACTGTAAGTCGGCCAATGCTGTTCATAAGAACAGAGCAAAAGTATTTCTTATTCCTCCAGACTTCATACCTGACCCTCTTTTGTTTGAAGGTTTCAGCCAGTGTTCTGGTTCCACTCTATAAACTGGGTCTTTTCGGGTAGGGGGTTTTCAAAGCTTTATTTCCCAGAGGCTCTCACGTGGCTTTTCTCCCTACTTAGAATTGACAAGGCCTCCTATCTGAGCAATGAGATTAAATTCATTTCCAATCAGTTTAACCGAAATGGATGTGTGGGAAGATGGGGCAAAGTAAAACAGAATTGCATATGATTACATGAGACAAAATATTTAGTATGGTTGTAAAAACGTGATGAAAAGAACTTCTGAGCCAAATGTTTTCTAACTAAACATACAAAATAGTAAAAGTATAAAACATCCCCCAAGCCTATTATCCTCCTAAGGATATTAGATGAAAATTAAGTACTTAATTTCAACATTTTTATAACTAGTGAGTCAGATGTACAGGGCTTTGTTGGGAAACTTTTTCAAAGCAATCATATTTTGCTGCCTTTTTTTTTTTTAGCTTAACAGTGGAAATTGTTAATTCTTACTTTCAGTTACTCATTTCAGTATTGCATCAATTTGACAATTTCTTATTGTCAAAATAAGCACAACTCTGCCATCCCGTCTATAGAGAAGACTGATTTGTGCACAAGAATAAATAGCAAAGGACACTAAGTCTATGAAGAAATGTGAGACACAGACTGATAATTAGACCAATTTGGGGATGCTAATTAAGTAGCAATACCTCTCACACATCTATAAATCTTTAAATAACAACTCTATTAAGCAACTGTCTTAAATGTGCCATAAGCATTTCTTTTGACTAATGCAAATGCAAACACGCATGAACGAAATTATTATCATCTCCTTTGCGGGAAATAAAACCAAAGCTCTTTTCCATGTGGCAATAAAACTATTTAAATTCTATAAATCAAGAAACCTTTAATATGTAGTGAGCTAAATCATGGACTTAGAACAAGAAGCATTCTTATATAATGGGGAAGAAAACAGGTTAGGCTTAAATTTAGGCTTGAGGCTTTTTTTTAAGAGAAAGTCATTGTGACAAGCACCCGATTGACAGAGAAATGGAACATTATTCATTCACTGATTGATTGTTCTATCTATAAGGAGACATTTAGGTTGTCTCCTTACAGGTTGTGATGGAATTGTAGCCCGTAAACATGCTTAGAAAGATTTTCAGAATATAACCTAGATGTAAAGTGAAAATGTCTTCTGATTATTGCAGAAATTGCTTCTGTTCCATTTCCATGTTCCTAGAACTTGCTACTAGAACAGTGGTAGAGTCTTTTCTCTTTAAATGTAGGGACATCCCCATCCACAATAACGATGCTGACAAGGTCATTTACTGAGCATCAGTTATGTCTCAAAAATTGCGCCTTGTCTTTTATCTATGATTTAGAATACAGTTTAACACCCAGATCACCCTGTGGTAGACAGATGGCCACATAGAGCTTAAGAGAAAAGTATTCGAATGTTTTTTGTTTTTTGTTTTTAAAAAGAGTTGGGGGAGAGGGCTAGGACAATTCAAGTTCCCTTCCTTTCATTTGTCCTAAATATTTATCTCTAATAGAACTTAAAATGGATTTCTTTGGATAAAAACCCATCACTGAAATACATCTTTAGCATGCATTATAGTCTTTTCTTGCTTCTTTAAACTAATATCAATATTTATGATTGTATTCTAAGGATGTGAAAAATATGATCTGCTATGTATTTCATACTATTGAATGTCAATGCTGTGTACATTCCTTTAAAAAATAAACATGTAAGCATTAATAAGCAAAAATTAGTTTTGTTTTTATTTTAACTTTAAGAATAATTGGCCAATATAATTGTATATATTTAAAGTGTACTTGGTGATGATTGGATATACATATACATTATAGAATGATTACCAAGAACAAGATAATTAGCACATTCATCACCTCACATAGTTAAGAGAGTTCTTTCTTTTTTATTTATGTGATGACAATGCTTAGGATCTACTTGCAGCAACTTTCAAGTATACAAACTGTATCATTAACTAGTCATCATGCTGTACATTATATCCTCAGAACTTATTCTTATTACAGAAACTGGATACCCTTTGACCTACATCACCCCTTTTCCCCCTCCCCTCAGCCCCTGCCAGCAACCATCCTATTTTCTATTTCTAGATTCCACATATAAGTGATATCATGCACTGTTGTCTTTTTCTGTATGACTTATTTCACTTAGCATAATGCCTTCTAGATTCATCCATTTTTGTCACAAATGGCAGGATTTCCTCCCTTTTTGGCTGGGTACTAGTCCATTATGTATATATACCACACTTTGTTTATCTATTTATCCATTGACAGACACATAGGTTGTTTCCATACCTTGGCTAGATTGTTTCCATACCTTGGCTATAGAGAATAACACTGCAATGAACATGAGAATGTATCTCTTGGAGATACTGATTTCATTTCCTTCAGATAGATTTATACCCAAGAATGGGTTTGCTGCTTCATAGGTCGTTCTATGTTTACGTTACTGAAAATACAAATATCTAAAAACTTTTGTAAATGTATTTCCAATGTGGTTATTAAGATGTGGAAAATAAATAATAACTCTAAATATTGCATTCTTTTAAGTTATATGTGCTAAATTGTTTAAATATCCAAGTTTGTATTTATCAATGTAGTTATAAACAGTATTGAAATATGTATTAACTCCAACATGTATAACAGCAATGAAAAAGTATAAATACTCCATGTTATGTGGGCACTTTGATAAATTAGCAACATAAAAAAAAAATCTTTAAAAATTGAAACCAGTTCTCATTCAGTTCAAGAATTGTCAAAGGAGCAATTGGTTTGTAATTGTTGACTGGAATTAGTAAATAATCATAATAATCGAGTCAAATTCGCTAAGAATTCTTTGACAGTTAAAAATTCCAGATTAGCTGAATTCAAGTCAATTAAGACCATGCATTATGCAGTCATAGTAAACTAAACCAATTACCTCCGCCCCCTGCTCAGCGGGGAGTCTGCTTCTCTCCCTCCCTCTGCTTCTCCCCCTGCTCCTGCTCTCTCTCTCTCTCTGCATCTCTGTGTCTCGAATGAATAAATTAAAAAAAAAAAATCTATTAAACCAATTACCTCTGCCATTCAAAGAACATGCTTAACTGTTTTCAAAAACCATATAGCAACTATTTTTTCTGATATACATTTCAACATTCATTAAATATTCTTTAAAAACATGATTTTTAATTTTGTTTTTATTAACAGACTGATAAAATATAGAGCAACCTCTGGCCCCACATACTATTTCTACAACATTGCAAAATGAACATATTACATTATAAAGTAATCCTTTTTTCACTTTACAATGCCTTTTAAACTTAAAAAATAAGTCTAGACATTTATCTGGGGGTAAATATTAGAGTGTATGAGACTTTATGAGGCAAGAGTATTGAAAACATACAAAGTGATCTAGTCTCTTGTCACTCCAATGTCACATGCTACTTGATTCTTAATAAGGCATAGCTTAAAATCGGTATATAAGGCAAGTTAGCAACTTGATGGACTTCTAATACTTGAAATGAGGCATATCAGCAGAGACAGAAACTATTGGTTAGAAATCAATCTTTTTTCGGCTATATCTCATTGTCTTACACAATCCTAAGATTTAATTTTTTCTATTTTATGATAGGAAATGTCGCTATTGCTTTACCAAATTGGGTCAAGTGCCTCATGTTAGTCATTTTAATCCTATCAAAACAAAATTCTTTATAAACAAGGACGCCGTTTGTCAACTCTTATTTCTCAATACAAGAAAGATTACTAGAGGATACGTCCTTTGGCAAACTCTTGCTAAAACAAACAAAAAAATATGGAGTGGCCCAGAAGGTATAAAGAATCTTTAATATACACCTAAAGCACTTCCTAAAGTTTAATGTGAGCACTCTTTCTTGTAGTGTAATTATAGAACTTTTATTTTTGGAATGAACTACATGGCTCTTTATATTCAGAATATTTTGAGTACGTGAAATAAACATGAATCATATATTTTTACTAGAAACCAATTTCAAAATAAGAACATGAATGATTTAAGAAAAAACAAAACTTTGCTCTTGTACTTTCATAAATAGTCTATGAGGTTATCGGTCAATGTTTATTTTTCTCTCACATGTTCCCCTATAAGAATAAATTATAAAGGCATGTTGTATTTGTAGGTGTTCAATAATGTTTTAAGTCCAAAAGTATTGTAAACACTTTTAAGAATATGAGGCATGTAACCATGTTAGCTTTTTTTTTTTTAAGATTTTTATTTATTTGACAGAGAGAGACACAATGAGAGGGGGACTGGAGGGGGAGTGGGAGAGGGAGAGGGAGAAGCAGGCTTCCAGCTGAGCAGGGAGCCCGATGCGAGGCTTGATCCCAGGACCCTGGGATCACAACCTGAGCTGAAGGCAGACGCTTAATGACTGAGCCACCCAGGCGCTCCCCATTTTGGCTTTCTGAAATAGATTTTATTTTCAAATTTTCATTTAATGTAGAGCCTTTGTTCTTCTCAGAGGACATGCTTACATCCTCAAAAAGCAACAAGGCAGAGAATATGATGGAATTAAGAGTGAAGAGTTGGTAGTTTAGGGAAGAACTGTCTGGTAGATTCTGTGTTTGAAGGTGTGAGACCTGAATATGCGACCAGTCTTTGCAGCTGGTGATTGAG